AGGTAGAAAAGTTCTCTACAGCACAATATTCTCAACATACCAGTGTCAACATAGTATTTTTTATTATTGGTCAAAAAAATAAAAATATATCTACTTATTGCCTTTACTTGTTGGCACAATAAAAGTGGCGACTGATTAAAATTATATATCTTTTGAATGAGTTGCAATGTTTTGAAATGCGGGCTTTTATTTAAAAGATTTCCTCATTACCATACTAACCTGACTTCATAATTTGTGCTGCTGGCAGAATACTAGTTAAATCAAATATGCATAAAAATGGCACAGACATGGTAGGAATGGGGTCAATAAAATAGAACAGCATCAATACCAGCTATGATCAGACTCTCCAACCGGGAGTATGGTATCCAGGTCTAGAATATCGACCTCGTCCAGAACCGTGGCAGGTCCGTTACCGACATCCTCCACATCAGCATCAAATACCGAGCTTTGTTGAAAATTGGAGAACGGTTCCTCGGACGAGGTGTATGGTCCAAGAGCACATGGATGCGATAGTGCTGGATTTGAATAATTCGCAGAGAAAACCGGACTAGAGGCAGAACACGCTGTACTCCCGTGCAGACAGGCCGACGAGGTTGGAAATATATGTGGCCCATTATTGCAGTTGTTTACTGAATTAGCTCTTGTCCTGAGCTGTTCGTTTTGTTTCTCCAATTTTCGGACCAGCTCCTGAAGCTTTATCACTTCGAGCTCCGCGTTTTGAATTTTATTGTTGCCATTGACGTCCGCCATCATTTGGGGGTTCAACACTTCCGCTTCCATTGGTTAAAATACGCATTTAGAAAGAAAAATAAACACACACAACGGTCGGTAACAAGTCCTGTTCAGTGTGTGATGATCGGTCGGGTCGTTCTTTGTAGTAGACAATTGAGACGTGCCTCGTAGTGATGCTGCGTGCAGATCCAGACCAATGATGAATTTATGCCGCGTTCAAGATGACTGGGAACTTCGAAATCTCTGACCTCCGAATTCAGTGTGTTCAAGATAACTGGGAACTCGGGAAAAACACGAGCTCTGACTGGGAAAATCGTTTTGAACGGTCATCCGAATTTGGGCATCATCCTAGACTCCTATTGCTCAGACTTTACGAACTGAAGATCACTGACGTCACGATTTGACCTCGTTTTTTTTCCGAGTTCCCAGCTGCCTTGAAAGCACCAATAATGCCTGGATTGCTGATTTCAGAGGGCCAATAAGAGTCTTTGAAGCCACCGGCCGCCATATTGGTACTCCTCAGAAGGAGCGGTGGAATGAATGGAATTCTACAGTATTTTAATAAAATATATCAAGGAAAAAATTACATTTATTTAACTATTTATTTGTTGTAGTGGGGACAGTAACATTAGTACTCTCTAAAAATATATATACTTTAAAGCTGGAATCAGTAATGGTGAAACTGCCATACCCGTTTGCGATATTACAACGTCAAAGAAATGACTTCTAACAATGAACAATGTTTTTTTCCCTCTGGAATCATTGCACATCATTGCACGCGCGATAGAACAATTACCCCACCGAAAACATTCTTTAAAAAAGTATAGTTGGTCATAGACTTTATATGGGCAAATAAAACTCATAGAATAAAAAGGAAGATTTTAACATTTCCTAAATCTGAGGGTGGTTTTAATCTTCCAGACTTGGAATTGTATTAACTCGCCACCCAGGGCTTTTACATATAGTTAGTTAAATGCACTAAAGCATTTCGCTACACCTGCAATAACATCTGCTAAACATGTGTATACCACCAATAAAAAAGTATTTTATTTATTGATTTGATAAAGAGAACGGGTACATATTGAAGATGCGCATGCTCATCCCCAGAATCTTTTCACATGTCTATTTTCAAAGGGTAACGCTAAGAACATTAACAACTTCGTAGTTAAGTACTCTATAACAAAATGGAAGAAAATTAAATGTATTCTACAGAACCAATATCACTCCCTAAAAACACAACCCTATGGAACAATCCTTGGATAGCTGTTCAGAATTCACAGATAAATTGGCCCAAATGGAAAACTAAAGGCATATAAACCGTAAATGACTTGGTAACAGGAAATACATTTATTTCCATGACAGAATTAAAAAGCAATTTTGGACTGACTAATGTAGATATTTTCAAATACATTTTACATTTTAGTCATTTAGCAGACGCTCTTATCCAGAGCGACTTACAGTTAGTGCATACATTATAATTTTTTTCATACCCCCTGTGGGAATCAAACCCACAACCCTGGCGTTGCAAACGCCATGCTCTTTCAACTGAGCTACATCCCTCCCGGCCATTCCCTCCCCTATCCTGGAGGACGCTGGGCCAATTGCGCGCCGCCCCATGGGTCTCCCGGTCGCGGCCGGCTACGACAGAGCCTGGATACGAACCAGGATCTCTAGTGGCACAGCTAGCACTGCGATGCAGTGCCTTAGACCACTGCACCACTCGGGAGTAATTTAAAAGTTTCATGTCAAGACATTTTGATTTGAATTATTTTGGACATCAGAGCAATCTTAAGGGAATCCTATTTGAGTCAGAAAAGGATAGTCATATGATAGGTAAGATACAAAAAATCTTGCAGAAAGCCTATCTAACTGACAATCTCTTAGAAAAATGTTTAAACTATTGGAACCAAGATTGAAAAAGAACTGATATTGTCACAAGATGGAGGGAATTTTGGAACATAACTATCAAAAGTACAGGTAATTAAAATGTTTGCTTAATCCAGTATTAACTAATGTGTACAATTTATTACACGAGACAAAATTCACAAATTCGACAGCATAATGGCAGTCATGTTTTAAGTGTAAAACTAACAATGACTCAATAATCCATGCCTTCTGGGAATCCTATGAAGTCCAGAATTGATGGGCAGAGTTGGCTGTCAGAAGAATTACAATGTAAATGTACTTTTAAATCGTTTGTCTGCATATTTCAAGACATGGCATATGAGGGTGCATTGAGATACCCAATGGGTTGGATGATACCATCGTTAACACAATTTTTTTTTTTTTTTTGCAGTTTGAGGCCATTTGGCGGAGAGTGAGGCGGGCGCTGGAGATGGGGGTGTGAGCAGGTGTGTCTGGGCAGGGCTGAAGTTGTCGTTTGTTTGTGTATGTTATATATTGTAAAAAAATAAAATAAAATGTGATGTGGGATGCGACGACTAAAGAGGAATTTTGTCCAAGTGTGGTGATACTGATGATTTGTCGGCACAGATGGTTTGTTTACATAGCAGGTTAGGATAATTAACATGGCAGGTTAGGTGAATTAATGTGGCAAGTTAGGAAAACTATCGCAACAGGTTAGGTGAATTAACGTATCAGGTTAGGAGAATGAGGTTAAGGTTAGGAAAAGTGTTAGGCTTTGAAACAATGCTACAGTTGTCAACAACTGTTGTCCACGACGCGACCACTAGGTGGCGCTGTATGCCTACAGGGGGGGGCATCTGGCCCATGCTTTGGCGTGCGTTCAGTTTGCTTCAAAGTTTGGTATGTTGTGTCACTTTGTACTGAATTACACTTTTCCTAAAACGGTGTGCACCATTCTTCAACAGGCTTTGAGGTACGTTTTATCTCGTTTGGTGGGTGTGGTCAATATGGGTGTGTGACACAGGCTGATGGCACCTTAATTGGGGAGGATGGGCTCAAAGTTAATGGCTGGAATGGAATATATGGAACAGTATCAAACACATCAAACACATTGTTTCCATGTGCTTGATACCATTCCATTCACTCTATTCCAGACATTACTATGAGCCATCCTCCCTTCACCAGCCTCCTGTGCCACTGTGTGACCATCTAAAATCGCAAAACTCATGCAGCACACTGGGCCACCATAATCACACATTTTTCAACTGGTTGTTCAGTACAGTACCATTCCGTTGAATTCAAAGTTGCACACCGTTCTGTCGTACTGAATGCAACCCTGGCTGAGAGTTTCCGTTTAGGGGGGTGGAGACTTCACCCCCCAGAACCTAATCAAGCATCTGACGCAATTCTGAAAGATTTTAGTTCTGGGTTTCTGAGATTAGGTTTGAATCAAACAGAGAGAATCAAACAGAGAAGCAAACTGTTGGTTTGTGCCGCAATAGACTACTGATTTCCATATGCTTACAAATACTTTTGATTCACATTTAATTTATTTGTCACACACACAATGCATAGCCTACAAATACTTGAAAGAAAACACCAAACTGTTTTGTGTAACTTCTGTCCAAATTGTAATAAATAATTATTTATATTTTTGTATTACACACACAACCAGCCCCCAGCCCTAATTCTTACACCATATGGGTATCTTACAGTAGGCCTACTTTGGTAGCCTGAATGCTTGTGAGAAATAGGTTGATTATGTAAAATAAATTGCTGGCTGAGACAGGTCAGAAAAATATTTGTTGGCCTATATGCATTTTACTGTGGATGTTTGAGATATTGTGATTCAGAGTCAATGTATTATAGGCTAGTCAAGTAAAAACAACATAGAAAAAACAACAACAATGCAAATGTGTTTTTTCTGTTAATTGCTTACAAATGTTCACATATCCCATATAGTATATTAATTTATGAAAACATGAATTGTCAGTGTAGTTTTTATGTTGAAGATTAACATCCACCCCCATTTTAGAAGAAAGGTATGAAATCTGAAACATGCTCTTTTTCAACCTCTATATGTTTCCCTATTTATATAAGGAGGACCCATGTCACCAAAATGTAATTCATAAACTTAAATCTGTTTAAACAGTTATAGAATAAAGACCCCATCTTCATCCGAATTAACTTTGGATATTCAGCAATGCCAGTTACCTCACAGTGACCCAAATTAGGTTTGGAGATTTTTATGCCCCCAAATTTAAAGAAACCAATTGAAACCGAGTAAGTCCTGACTCACCATTTGTGAAACATTGATACAATGTTCAGTAAAACATCAGTATGAGATCTAGTTCTGAGTGTGTTTCTAAATGTGTTTACCTCTGGTGACTTCAAAGCAGCGCTCACAGTGGAACTCTGTAAACCCACATACTGTCCCCTGCCTTGAGATGGCCCCAGGGACTGCTACACACCTCACACTGGGGATGCAGAGACACACAATGTCAGATACTCTCATTAGACGAAGAAGAAGATCAAGATGCAATCTTAATGAGGAGATGGTTGGATGTAATCCAATCAATTATTGGATCTAGTAGTGCAAATGTAACCTATTTATATCACAATATTGCAGATCGGATAAGAAGACAGAAGCCTCTGTACGCACGCTCAGACACGGACACTAAAATATTTATTAGATTACGGTGTTAATATTTCAATATTGAAATAGTGTTTACCTTGAAGCAGGTAGTGTGGCAGATCTTCATATCCTCCAGCACCATCTTGGGGTCGTAGCTCATGGTCTTACGGCAGTAGGAGCCCAGGTCTCTCTCCAACACAGTCCTTGAGGGACTGAAAGGGACTTATCATCATCACATGGCTGTGTGAGAGAGCATGCATGGACCTCATGTAGGGCCAGACAGAATCTGCTAGGGGAGTTATTTTATCAAAACCATCACAGGCCTTGTTATTTGTGGCTAAATAACTATGTTATATCTTCTAACTACGTTATAGGTTTGTTACAACTATGTTATATAAAAATAATAACATTAAAATAAATGTTTTTGTTTGTACATGTGATATCTTAATCATGTGCACAGTCTTGTGATGAAAACATATAAATAGCACAGTTTGAGAGCATGATGATCATGACGGGATGAGATGACGGGATTTGTGAAAGCAACTAAGGAAAATCTAAATTGCTATTTTGTATACCACTTGAATGAAGAAGAACATTTCAAATTTTGTCAACTCCCTAAAACAACTCCGTTACATTTTTGTCAGAGTGCTGAAAGATCTGATTAATCATTTACTGGGGATTTTCAAATGAATCATTTTCTATATTTTACAAATGAACTTTAATTTTTAGAAGAAAAAATATGTCTGATTTCAGTCAACTGTCAGTGGCTTGTCAACTCCGCCACCTTAAGTTAAATGTTTTTGTCAATATTCTGAAAAAGTATTTTAATCACTATTTATGCTTAAAGTATTTCCTGTGCTAGATCTAAGCGATAATGTTTGCTTTATAAATGTTGTTTTATGTTCTGAAACGAAATTAGCACTAGAGCATTATTTAGCGCTATTTGAAAAATCGAATGTTAGAATTGAACAATCAAGGTCTTTAAACACTTTTTGGACAATAAATATAAAAATGAAATGCCTTTTATGGTGTCTTGACGGAGTTGACATAAATCCAGTTAGTTGCATTTTATGAAAAAATTAAAGTATAAGGAGTCTGTTCCTTTCCATGGTGTGATAAAGAGACGGTGATATCGTGGACGTAGGTCGGGGGGCCTCGTAAGGATCCGACGGCGACCGACTATACTGGTCTTCCATCAAACCTATTAGCCAATCTTCAATCATTGGAAAATAAATTAGATTTACATTTACATTTTACATTTTAGTCATTTAGCAGACGCTCTTATCCAGAGCGACTTACAGGAGCAATTAGGGTTCAGTGCCTTGCTCAAGGGCACATTTACGTCATTTAGCAGACGCTCTTATCCAGAGCGACTCACCAATTGGTGCGTTCACCCTATAGCCAGTGGGATAATCACTTTACAAATTTTTTTTGGGGGGGGGGGGGGGGGGGGGGGGGTAGAAGGATTACTTTATCCTATCCCAGGTATTCCTTAAAGAGGTGGGGTTTCAAATGTCTCCGGAAGGTGGTGAGTGACTCCGCTGTCCTGGCGTCGTGAGGGAGCTTGTTCCACCATTGGGGTGCCAGAGCAGCGAACAGTTTTGACTGGGCTGAGCGGGAACTATGCTTCCGCAGAGGAAGGGGAGCCAGCAGGCCAGAGGTGGATGAACGCAATGCCCTCGTTTGGGTGTAGGGACTGATCAGAGCCCGAAGGTACAGAGGGGCCGTTCCCCTCACTGCTCCATAGGCAAGCACCATGGTCTTGTAGCGGATGCGAGCTTCAACTGGAAGCCAGTGGAGTGTGCGGAGGAGGGGGGTGACGTGAGAGAACTTGGGAAGGTTGAACACCAGACGGGCTGCGGCATTCTGGATGAGTTGTAGGGGTTTAATGGCACAGGCAGGGAGGCCAGCCAACAGCGAGTTGCAGTAGTCCAGACGGGAGATGACAAGTGCCTGGATTAGGACCTGTGCCGCTTCATGTGTAAGGCAGGGTCGTACTCTCCGAATGTTGTAGAGCATGAACCTGCAGGAGCGGGTCACCGCCTTGATGTTGGCGGAGAACGACAGGGTGTTGTCCAGGGTCACGCCTAGGCTCTTCGCACTCTGGGAGGAGGACACAGCGGAGTTGTCAACCGTGATGGCGAGATCATGGAACGGGCAGTCCTTCCCCGGGAGGAAGAGCAGCTCCGTCTTGCCAGGGTTCAGCTTGAGGTGGTGATCCGTCATCCATACTGATATGTCTGCCAGACATGCAGAGATGCGATTCGCCACCTGGTTATCAGAAGGGGGAAAGGAGATGACCAAACATTACGCTTATCCTACCAATGGGACATTAAAAACTGTAATATCTTATGTTTCACCGAGTCGTGGCTGAACGACGACATGGACAACATACAGCTAGCGGGCTATACGCTACATCGGCAGGATAGAACGGCTGACACCGGTAAGACAAGGGGTGGTGGTCTGTGTATATTTGTAAACATCAGCTGGTGCACAAAATCAAATACTAAGGAAGTCTCAAGATTTTGCTCGCCTGAGGTAGAGTATCTTATGATAAGCTGTAGACCACACTATTTACCAAGAGAGTTTTCATCTATATTTTTCATAGCTGTCTATTTACCACCACAAACCAAAGCTGGCATTAAGATTGCACTCAATGAGCTGTATAAGGCCATAACTAAACAGGAAAATGCTCATCCAGAGGCAGCGCTCCTAGTGGCCGGGGACTTTAATGCAGGGAAACTTAAATCCGTTCTACCTAATTTCTACCAGCATGTTAAATGTGCAACCAGAGGAAAAAAAACTCTAGACCACCTTTACTCCACACACAGAGACGCATACAAAGCTCTCCCTTGCCCTCCATTTGGCAAATCTGACCATAACTCTATTGTCCTGATTCCTGCTTATAAGCAAAAACTAAAGCAGGAAGCACCAGTGACTCGGTTAATAAAAAAGTGGTCAGATGACGCAGATGCTAAGCTACAGGACTGTTTTGCTAGCACAGACTGGAACATGTTCCGGGATTCTTCAGATAGCATTGAGGAGTACACCACATCAGCCTACTGGCTTCATCAATAAGTGCATCGATGACGTCGTCCCCACAGTGACCGTACCTACATACCCCAACCAGAAGCCATGGATTACAGGCAACATCCGCACTGAGCTAAAGGGTAGAGCTTACCCGGACGCTTATAAGAAATCCCGCTATGCCCTCTGACGAACCATCAAATAGGCAAAGAGTCAATACAGGACTAAGATTTAATCGTACTACACCGGCTCTGATGCTCGTCGGATGTGGCAGGGCTTGACAACTATTACAGACTGCAAAGGGAAGCACAGCCGCGAGCTGCCCAGTGACACAAGCCTACCAGACGAGCTAAACCACTTCTATGCTCGCTTCGAGGCAAGCAACACCGAAGCATGCATGAGAGCACCAGCTGATCCGGACGACTATGTGATCACGCTCTCCATAGCCGATGTGAGTAATACTTTTAAGCAGGTCAACATTCACAAGGCCGCTGGCCAGACGGATTACCAGGACCTGTACTCCGAGCATGTGCTGACCAACTGGCAAGTGTCTTCACGGACATTTTCAACATGTCCCTGACTGAGTCTGTAATACCAACATGTTTCAAGCAGACCACCATAGTCACCGTGCCCAACGACAGTAAGATAACCTGCCTAAATGACTACCGACCAGTAGCACTGACGTCTGTACCCATGAAGTACTTTGAAAGGCTGGTCATGGCTCACATCAACACCATTATCCCAGAAACCCTAGACCCACTCCAATTTGCATACCGCCCCAACAGATCCACAGATGATGCAATCTCTATTGCACTCCACACTGTCCTTTCCCACTTGGACAAGAGGAACACCTACAGTGGGGGAAAAAAGTATTTAGCCACCAATTGTGCAAGTTCTCCCACTTAAAAAGATGAGAGAGGCCTGTAATTTTCATCATAGGTACACGTCAACTATGACAGAAAAAATGAGAAAAGAATTCCAGAAAATCACATTGTAGGATTTTTAATGAATTTATTTGCAAATTATGGTGGAAAATAAGTATTTGGTCAATAACAAAAATGTCTCAATACTTTGTTATATACCCTTTGTTGGCAATGACACAGGTCAAACGTTTTCTGTAAGTCTTCACAAGGTTTTCACACACTGTTGCTGGTATTTTGGCCCATTCCTCCATGCAGATCTCCTCTAGAGCAGTGATATTTTGGGACTGTCGCTGGGCAACACGGACTTTCAACTCCCTCCAAAGATTTTCTATGGGGTTGAGATCTGGAGACTGGCTAGGCCACTCCAGGACCTTGAAATGCTTCTTACGAAGCCACTCCTTCGTTGCCCGGGCGGTGTGTTTGGGATCATTGTCATGCTGAAAGACCCAGCCATGTTTCATCTTCAATGCCCTTGCTGATGGAAGGAGGTTTTCACTCAAAATCTCACGATACATGGCCCCATTCATTCTTTCCTTTACACGGATCAGTCGTCCTGGTCCCTTTGCAGAAAAACAGCCCCAAAGCATGATGTTTCCACCCCCATGCTTCACAGTAGGTATGGTGTTCATTGGATGCAACTCAACATTCTTTGTCCTCCAAACACGACGAGTTGAGTTTTTACCAAAAAGTTCTATTTTGGTTTCATCTGACCATATGACATTCTCCCAATCCTCTTCTGGATCATCCAAATGCACTCTAGCAAACTTCAGACGGGCCTGGACATGTACTGGCTTAAGCAGGGGGACACGTCTGGCACTGCAGGATTTGAGTCCCTGGCGGCGTAGTGTGTTACTGATGGTAGGCTTTGTTACTTTGGTCCCACATCTCTGCAGGTCATTCACTAGGTCCCCCCGTGTGGTTCTGGGATTTTTGCTCACCGTTCTTGTGATCATTTTGACCCCACGGGGTGAGATCTTGCGTGGAGACCCAGATCGAGGGAGATTATCAGTGGTCTTGTATGTCTTCCATTTCCTAATAATTGCTCCCACAGTTGATTTCTTCAAACCAAGCTGCTTACCTATTGCAGATTCAGTCTTCCCACACTGGTGCAGGTCTACAATTTTGTTTCTGGTGTCCTTTGACAGCTCTTTGGTCTTGGCCATAGTGGAGTTTGGAGTGTGACTGTATGAGGTTGTGGACAGGTGTCTTTTATACTGATGACAAGTTCAAACAGGTGCCATTAATACAGGTA